TGTTTTCTATTACACTCAGGTGGGTACACAGACCTGCTAAACCCATTTGTGCTTTCTGTCAGTGCTGCAGATTTACTGTTCGGAGGTTTTTGGTCAAAAGAAGGTTGTTATTTCCATCTGCAATAATTTATATTTGGCAGTAAGGCTCTGCTCTGGAAAAGCAGCAGCAAGACCCCTCTACAGAACAGGTCAGGCATCAATAACTTGTGGCTCCTAGAGTTTCCAAAAGAAGAATGGGAAGCAGAATCCAGCCCCTCTCCTGTGGAACCAGCTCCCAGTGTGCACTCAGAGACAGACACCTTCTCTACTGTTAAGAGCGCTTTAAATGTTCTTTTTGGATAAAGCTTATAGTTAGGACTGGTTACCTTGAACCATCACTTAGTTGTGCTGCTGTCGGCTCAGACTGCTGGGGGATTTTCCCAGGATGCACTGAACATTTCTTCTCACCTCTTTTCACTGGCATTGCATTTATTGTACAGCTATTGCATGTTACTAACGTTTGTCTGCTCTTTCCTGCAGTGTTTTTCTTTTTTCATTTTGTTTGTTGTGTGTGATCTCTCTATGCTCCTGTTTTTTCCCCGTCTCTTTCCCCTCAAACCCCAGTGGGTCGAGACAGATGGCTGCCCCTCCCCGAGCCTCGTTCTGCCAGAGGTTTCTTCCTCTTTAAAAGGAAGTTCGTCCACATAGATGATTGTTGTCGGCTCTCCACTCAAATATTATTTGAAATTGAACTGAATCAAACTGAATTTATTTTTTTTAAGTTTCTTATCTGTGTAAATTGCTGGACCCACATGTCTTCGTTCGGTCAGGTCAACAGACCAGATACTTTTGCTGATTCTGAAGTGAAAACTCAGACATGACAGTTGCCACCGCTCACCAGGCAGACTTAAATCTCATTTAAAAATACACCTTTGCTCCCTAGCCTTTGTCCCATTGTGAGACACTGACTGTGATTTTAAGTCATCTTTTAATTGTGATGGTTCTTTTGTGTCTCCCTGTTGCTGCTTTAAAAGTAAAAGTGGCAAAAGTATTTTATAGATAGTGAATGTCATTGAAAGCAGGATGCAGATCTGCATCAGCTGTGGACATGCTAGAGCGATTTAGATGAGATGCGCCAATTGGATCCATAGAGCAGTATCAGTAAAGCGATCGGGTAATGTAGGCTGATCCCAGCTGATCTGCTGCGATTTTCTGGACTTGTAGCCTGCTCGAGCTAACCCTAAACTTGATTTATGCTGCTCTCAGCAGCAGAGAAGTTTGAAAAAAACACAAAAGGCCCTTTGCCAAGTCCACAATTGACCCATTTACTGTATCGCTCTCGTGTTGCACACTCATCTAGAACAGTGGTCTAAAGCGAACACAGACCCTTAAAGTAGTTCAGATCTAAACAAAGAAGTGGATGATGCATAG